GATTGCATAACGTGTTGACTACACTAGCTATCTGTCTCCTTAAATCTGTATCACTCTCTTTCAATGACAAATCGACAAAATCGGAAATTATAAAAGAGAAGGTTGGAGAATCATACAGTATATGTCAGTTTAACAGAATCAAGAAAAGCTGGCTTGCAATTCATGTTTTCCTGATCTTTTGAAGACTTTCGTAGCTTTACTGTAGTCACCTCATTTCGAAAAATGGAAAGTTGATTAGTCAGCTCACAAAGTTCGCACTCCAGAGTAACAAAAATGATGTGTAATATATACATAACAAAAAATTTATTTTACAGATATACCAAATAGCAAAAGCATACACTGAAAATTCCAGTTACAACCATTATGGTGGGAGACTGAGGGAGGGGGGAACCCTTTGAGCTCGCAGGTTCTGGCGCCTATGGACTGTTGGATTCCTCTCCTGTCAAGCAGGTGCACTCCAACTTCGAATGAGAGAAAAAAAAAAAAAACACACTTTAGGTGCTTTTCTGTTTAGCGACCATATCAGGTGAGACTTATGACATCCCATATTATGGGTGGGAAGGGGAGATTAGGATTAGGGTTTGTGTTAATTGAATGGCAACTACTACTAATCCACGGCCCACTAGAGCATTACATTATAAAAAGCTGTATCCCGGCTGTGTACTAAACCTAACTCTAACCCCACCCCCTCCCACATAATATGGGATATCCCTGTCTCGCATGATGTGATCGCTAAACAAAAAAGAGCCCACCCCTAATGTTTCGACTTTTACTGCATTCTTTTTCCTAGGAGGTAATGGGTCTGTTAAAAAACATATGGAGAAGAGAGCTGGAGAATGAAGTTAGAAAGATGGGGAAGACATGGGGAGAGCTCCATGCAATAGCGAATGATAAAACGACATGGCGTGAGTTGGTTGAGGGTCTATGCTCCATTGGGGGATAGAAAGGCAGAAGAAGAATGGGTCTATTCTTTCCCCTCTCCCGCTTCACCGCAATGGAGTCCAGGGACCCACACGGGGCAACTATTCGATACTACGCAATTACTCTAGGTCATAAAATAACCCCCCCCCTCCCCCCAAGAGACTTAAATTATACCTATATGTAAAATTAGGGATGACAAAAGGCAACGATAAATAAAACTGGCCACCTAAAACAACAACGTAATTGCTTTGTTCAAATGACATTATTGACTGTTGTCTACACAGGCAGTATTTGACAAAGTTCGCGCTTACATTTTAGTCCATAATCTTATGTTCTACTTGTTGAAATGTGCCAGTTTGTACACTTCTGTTCAGATCTAGAGATGTGGATATAGAGAAGAACAGGTCGTATTTTATGGAACAAAAATAATCCAATACAAAGATTCTACAAAGAGAATAAAAAGAGTTACTGAAAAAAAGACACATTAAGGGTTTGAAACCTTTTTTTTTAAAAAAAAAGCTTACAGGAGGGAAAAGTAGAAACATAAAAACAAAAGATAAACAACGTTACAAGTGAGCGGACAAAATCATGAGATGGAGGAAAATAAGTTTGAGAATGTACTAACAGAACAAGAGGAACAGTGTGTTGACTGACTGACTGACTTTCTACCCCACCAGGACATCACACAAGCGATAAACACCGGATGACACAAAGTGCCACCACGCGGGTGAGGATCGCCGTGGAAAGGTCCCAGAAACCGCGTTCAGACAATTGGCTATATCTATGGCCTGCCTATATTGCGGCCCCTGGAAAAAGCCAGAGTGGGGCTTCAAATAACAAAAATGGTCGTCCTAAAAAGGACGAAAGCAGATATGTATATACTTACCTGGCACAGGAGCTACGATGATCAACAGTGTGTTGAAGATACCTAGTATTTAATCTTCATTGTAAAGATGCAGACCCCCCCCCCCCCCCTTTCCCCCCTTTTTTTTTAAATTAAAAAATTGATTGGTTGATGCTCAGATCTATATGCCAGATATGACACATATGAGTGCAAGATAAAATTATAACTTCCAGAAAAAAGAGATACATTCAATTTTTTTTTACACATGAATAAATGTTGCCTCTCCTCCCTCCCCTCTCCCTCTCCGTTTTCTTTGAAAATTTTAAAACTATAAATGTCCAAAGGACATTATGTTGAGAAGCTCGCTCTCCTACGATATACTCCTGGCCAAATAAGAAGGAGCTGAAACCAAAAAGAAAACATCAGAAATGAAAGGGCAAGTAGAACACAGTTGACAACAGGATAGGAAAGGAGTGGTCTGAATTGCAGGAAAGAAGCATTAAGTCTAGAGACAACGCAAATACCAGAACTTTAGCCACAAAAGTGGCACAAATAAACAAGACCACAAACATAGCCGGAGTTTGTTGGCAGCTTCGGCTAGCTAGCAGCAGGTTGAACGTCGTTGAGTTTTGGATTTATTTCTTAAAAGAAATTGGAATTGGAATAATAAATGTGTTCAAAGCCTCATAGTCCATACCAACAAGCTGTTTTTTTTAATTCATTTAAAAATATATTGTGATTTATTCTCCTCACCTTGATTTTTAAATTGAAAATGCCCTGTTGCAGGTACAAATATCTGGTAAAGTTAATACAAGATGGCTGCGATGTGACAGAAAATGAAAATAAACATCAAACAGTTGTGGAAACCAGTTACCTGGATATATGTATTATCTACGCATATAACACAGTTTTTAACCTTTGTAAGTCATCCTGTTAAATGTCCCTTAATTTTTATTATATAAAGAAGACCAATCTGAATGCAAATAATAATCGAAGCAACAGTTTGTGAGTTCAGTTAGCAGTAGTTACTGTTTCAGTTACTCACTGTGACACTAAGTAAGTGCAGTAGTGTCGTGAGTAGTTGAGGTTGAGCATCATCAGGAATGAAATTGAGAGGTCACACTATCGGATCTGACTCTCTCGTGAGTCCACTCAAACGGCGTCATGTGTTTCATAATATTAATATTAAGTACTTGTACTGAGACGCAAGACTTATTCGTCCAGTACGTACGGGATGTCCCGCAATTGACTTGTGACTGGTGCCCTGTTAGTAGGGTATATTTTCGGCCTCGATAATTTGGGAACGTTATTCGGAGGATAGCCCTAGGATTACTGTCTCTTGACAATTTCGAAAAACGCAACAATACACACGATAATAGTAATAGCGACATGGCGGGGCGACCATGCGCTTCGACGCAGGTTAGCGATATTCTGATTATTACAACAATTAAACTCACCCCCGAGCGTATTCCCCGCTCCGTGCAGCATGGAGGGGTTCTAAACTAGATGGCTGGGACTCACGAGCAGCAGCTACCGCATCTCCTGCAACTTCCCAGCTATCTCGTTTAGTCCCCCCCCCCCATCTGCGCGGCATGGGGAGTATACTGTTGGCGGTGCGGTATAGTCGCCAGAAAGAGGTCCGCAATTAAAATATCGCTGAGACCCTGTTATAATATTTGTTTGCCCTGATAATATTAGGCCGTTTTTCGGAGGCAATCCTAGATTTGCCGCAATTTATTTTTCGGCAGACGCTCCACATTTTACACATGACTGAGGCCCTGTTAGGGTATTTGTTTGGCAGCAATAATTTAGGGGCGAAGTTCGGAAGAGAGCCTTAAATATTAACTCTTTGAGCTTGAGTCCAAGGGGGGCTTATAGCATCACAAGCCCAAGGGGAGACATAAAATTGGCGCATCATGTGTTAATCAGACTTCTGGGTAGGAACATCTGAACGTATGATGCATTCCATGGGACTCGAGGAGTTAATAATTATTAGTAATATTAGAGGATCAGACAGTTACTGGTGCCATCGGAATTAGAACTCTTTGCTTACTGCTAAAAATGGGGATGGAGCGCTTATGGGAGTGTCCCGAGTGCTGTGATGTCAATTCTTAATTTAACATTTAATAATGACATTTTAGTGGGTAAATGTATTTGTATTAAAAAAATAGGGAAGTGGAAGTAAGGCTACACAATAAAGTATTTAGTATATTATATTGATTTTATTGTTTGTGTGAATTACGCGTTACATGACATTTTAAAAATGAGTTTGTGATTGTCAGTATTGGTTTGTAACAGCAGTATTTATTTAGTATAATATTTTAAATAAATATCTAAAGTTTTAAAGAACACAAAATCAGCACTTGCTGCCTGAGAAAAGCCACCAACTTAACTATTAGAATTAGAGAACAAGTGAATAATAATGAAACCATCAGACAGATTGTGGGAACAACACCTTGTACCAGATTTAGCGAGAAACAACAGATCAAGTGGTTTGGCCATCTCGTTAGAATGCAGCAACATCAAATACCATCACAGACGCTACATCTCAGAAGATCCACTTCAAGTGGACAGTCGCAACAAAATATGGATCAGCAGCATAACAACACTTGCAGCTTCACTGCATGAAAATAGGAAATACCAGCCTGCATACGCTGGATTGCAAATTATTCCAACCTGTGATTTTTTATATTTCTGTTGGGGGCAAAATTTTACATCCTAACCTGCAGTCCATGGTGATGTCGCTAACCATTGGCTCTAAATCCTCAGTCTCATGGGGGGGGGGGGGGGGGGGGGGCATGAAACTGAGGATTACCGTTACACTGTCCTAAATTGTGATATAACGGGCACTAGTGACAGTTTTTTTTAAGCAGGTGCTTAACGGCAGACATGGTTTCTGCTGTGGAGTTATATAATTGGCTTCCGCCTTCATTCAGATATATCCTGTCTTTTCTAGTTAGCTGTGGGTGCATATTGTCTGTTTGTGTGTGTATGTTTTTTTTGTTGGGGGGGGGGGGGGGAAGTGTGTGCGCAGTGAAAGGTTAATTTTAGTTCTGCTGTGTATCATATTTCAGATTACAATTTCAGACTAATCTTCAGAATTTTGCTGTGGACAATTTTAAAAAGAATTGACCTTTATTATCAGCATTTGTGTGTGTGTGTATAGCTTCGCACAATTCACAGAGATTTATTTATATTTCAGATTTGGCAAGCAATCTTGTGACATTTTGTGATGATGGCCAATAATACAGATGCATCAGCAGTACTTGACAAGAGAAAACATCCATTTGGAGACTTAGGAAAACCAACCTTGAGAGGTGTCCGAAAATGCCCAAAGTGTGGAACATTAAACGGCACTCGTGGCATTAGTTGCAAGAACAAAGATTGTGATGTTGTTTTTAAAGAACGGGAAAGGAAAAAGGGACACAGTGCTGAATCTGTGAAGATTATAACAGATTCTACATTGCAGTTATACTCAGTTCGATTACGAGATAGAGGTCCAGACTACAGAGGCTTTGTTCAACTTCCTTATATTCAAGATATGGATGGTAATCCCACCACAGTGTACGATACAAACGTCTTAGTTGCGGCATCTGTTTGCTACGTGGAAAGCTGCAACCGCAGTGGGACGCCAGACTCTAGTTCTATACTGAAAGGCAATATGGATTCATGTATACACATTCGTTCCGCAGTGGAATGCACAGAGCAGGCTCAGCCAATAGGTCTGAAGAATTCGGTATTAAATAGCTTGCATGTTTCCCCAGAGACGAGACAAGCCATTTGGTTTTTGGCAACTGACACTTCTGGCCCCGTAGTCCAGAGAGTGACAAAGAATATAATGGTTGTGAAATGCAAAGTGACTAATAAGCAACCATTGGGACTGTTACACTGTGCTTTCTTTGAAACAGCTAGGAACAGACAGCAGCCGGATTATAAATTCCAGTGCACGTGCCATGTATTTAAGGTAATTGGAAAATTAAATTTCAAATAGGTTTTGTTTGACAGTTATTACTTTATATAGACCATATCATGTGGTTTTAGAAGGTTGACTCTGACCACAGCCTTCTGACTTCAATCATTTCTGACACCGATGAGCTTCCAAGGCATGATATCAAACATTATGTCCTTTAATTTTGTATTTAAATGTCCTGACATGAATAGGTAAAGTACTGCATTTGTCTATGTATAAGACACTATCTTTTCCCACATTTTTTTGGGAGTTGTCATATACATGGAAAAATATGTTAAGTAAAGGACCCTTCTTACACGAGTGGTAAATCGGACATACAATGCTAGACTCATATCATTTTGTTCCCCATGTGGATTTCGGGGCTCTGTTATAGAAAACACAGGAATAGACCCACTGCCTATCCAAAAGCATGTTGTAAGAGTCGACTAATTTGGAGCTTCGTTCGAAGTTGGAGTGCATCTGCCTGTGAGGCAAGGAACCAACAATCTGCATACAAATAAGTCAGATCTGTAAAACGGATGCACATGTAACAATTAGGTTCTGGAACAGGACTACAGTCCAGAAGTGGACGAAAAACCAGAACTTTCCACTGTAGTTTATAGCTGGTGAAAGAATAAGAAGATATTGTTTTGTAATCAGCATTTGGTGGGTGATGTGGTCAGCATCACAATGGCCTTCTTTGCTTCCCAGGACATTGCCTGGTACACATTTTAGGCTAAGTCAGCCTTCGAGCCAAGGTAATTTTTGTTTACAAATCTACTTAATGAGTATTCTAAGTCAAGACCTTTGGGCTGTTAGGTTAGCATCTAACGACTATGCTGCTGCAGCTGCCGCTAATTAGGTGGGCAACAAATAATAATATAAGCAGAACCAGCTTCATTGAAATATATACCAGACAGAGAGGCCTAGAAGGTCATATTCATCAGGGACTGCTGTAGACTAAGTGAATAATAAAGGTCCCTTTACTTGCCAGTGGCGCATTGGGCATATGAGGTTAGACTCATAATTTTATAAACAAATCATTCCTGGACAGGGTGTGGTCAGCATTAGGCCGGCCACCTTTACTTTCCAGGACTTTACTTGGTACCCTTTTAAGGCTGTTTCGACTTAGGAGACTAACTAGATCATGTATGCAAAAAATCCACTTTACACCCTCACCAGAAAAAGAAGAGGTTTTAAGAAATAATTATTTTATTTTGGGATGTTTTGAAGAAGAAAAAATTAATGATGAAAGGATAAACTTCATTGCAGTTGTATCCCACCTTACTTCAATTGCTGCCCAGAGTGGCTGGCCACCTCCTGAGAATATAAGACAAAGCATGAGCGATGAATCTTGAGGATCACAGACAGAAAAATCAGTTGTACTTGTGAACCAGTTTGGTGCAGTAGTGTGGTATCTGACCTGCCGATGAATATGTGATAGATCCTGTGGCTCCCAGTATGGGTTCTGGGCACCATTTTGAGAGTAAAGAGAATAGACGCCCACCCTCCCGCTTTCCTTCAAACATTTTGTAAAAAGCGACTAATTCAGGGTTTTTACTTTAAAGTCGGAGTGCAACTGCCTGAGAGAAAAGGAAACAACAATCTGCACACAGATAAACCAGATATGTAAAACAGATGTGCACACAAAACTCATATCCTGGAACAAGACCGAAGTCCAGAAGAGGATGAACAATCAGGACTTTCTGTCAGAGTTTACATCCAATTGATACTAGAAAGAAAACCAAGAAGATTGTGCAGCTGATGATGCTGTAATATACACTAATAGAAATCAGGAGAGGGTTAAATGTGAGATGCAGGTCATTAACAAGCAGAATGGGATATATCAAAAACAGCTGCCTGTGTGAGCATACAGGCACTTCTATCTATCTATTGTCTTCTTCACTTTTACCGGGTTGCAGCCCAGTGTCGTGGTTTAAAATATTTGTTTTGTGCCTCTCGCGTGATTTGAGTGACAGTTTTCTGGATCTTCTGGCTGTATTCAGCTACTCCATCTATCCATTTTTTCTGGGTCTTCCTCTGGCCTTTCTTCCCGATGTTCTACTGTAAAAGGCCTTGCCTTATAGGCAATCTGATCCGGTTGCATTCTTACTAAATGGCCAAACCACTTCATTCTCTGTCTTTCAATATGTTTCATGCATGCTCTTGTTTCAACTTTGTCTCTAATGCTGACGTTTGTGACTCTGTCTCTTCGTGTATTGTTGGTGACTCTTCGGAGACATCGCATTTCACACGTAGTTATTTTTTGCATATGTGATTTGTTCATTGTCCACGTTTGGCACTGATAACATAACGTAGGGATGAAAATGCTGTTGATCATCCGTTGTTTGGCTGGTAACGAGATCTTTGGATGACGAAGAAGTGGGGCCAGTTGGTAGTTGACTGCATTGGCTTTTTGAACTCTAGCCTGTATCTCTTTATCGAGTCTTCCATCTTCTGTAAATATGCATTCTAAGTACTTGAATTCTTGAACTTGTTCTAATTGTATGTCATTGATCTTTATGTTTACATTACTGTGTTTCTTTCCTATGGTCATTACTTCAGTTTTTGAGGTGTTTATTTTCATGTCAATTTTGAACAGTGATCAATGAATCGACATGTTCTTGTAGTTTTTGTTCTTCTTGTAACAAACATTGGTCATCTGCAAAGAGTAGTTCATTTATAATATCTGTGTTTTGGTTTGACTCCTGTGCAATTTTATCCATATATGTGATGAAGAGTAGGGGTGATAGGACACATCCTTGTCGTACTCCTGATGTAATGGGGAACCAGTCTGTCATACCTTCCGTTGTTCTTACAGCGCTCTGGCTTTTTTGATAGAGAGCCATTATGTTTCCCAATAATTGACCCGGTACACCATATTCTTCAAGAATGTTCCATAGTTTATTTCTGTTAACCCTTCTATAACAGTTTTAATTTGGCTATTTTTATCACTCTTTGTGATTAAGTGGAGGGAAACTTTAAGCCATAATTTAACAGTTGGTCATAATTAATGATCCTTGGATTTGAACATACAGCAGAATGGGCAAATATTGCTATTGTGTGAGCATATTGTAATGTAGAATACATTACACTTAAAGCCTAAGCTAAACTTTGTTACAGTGGCTGATGAAAACAGTTAATGTCCCTAGCATCACATCATGAGAATTATTCTAGTGTATTGTAACATTTGGCTTCATTATAGAAAATAAAAATAATAGAAAAGCAGAGAGAAAAGAGCTTATTCTGTGTCATGTCAGAGACCAAGATATCAATTCATTAACTGTGAAATCTACATCTTTTTTCTTGAATCAGTTATTAAAATTTAAAAAGTTTTGAAACTTCTTTAAATAACATACACTAATGACTATGACTACTTTTTTGCTTGCAGTTGATTTACTTCTAAAGTTGAAACATGTTTTATTCGGTGCTTCTCTTTATTTTGTCCCACATGTTTGAATTCTTGATATTTACTAGTAATTTTCTTTTCAGGTCAGAAAAGATGTTACCAGGCGCTGTGTGCATTTTTATGCTTGTATTTGTGCATTTGCTAGTGATGAAAGGTTGACTGAAGAATTTGCCCACTTCATAACTCTTGACCTGGGTATTTTGCCTAGTAAGTCTTAGTTATTTACTTACGTGAATTAAAATATATTTAAGTAAAATAATATGTTACAACAGTTTTTGTTATAACACGCTATATCCGACACCCCCATCTTCGTAAAACTTCATTTCATTACAAAACATGTTTCTAAGCCTGGATTTTGGATGGATTTAAACGGACAGTGAAACTGGAGCGTTAAAAGAACTTTTGAGACCTACAAATACTTGGTGTCTTCTTCTTCTCTTCTTCTTCACTTCCTCTTTTACCGCTGTGGGTGTCGAGGGAGATATAAGGTTCTGTTTCTAGCTCTTCTGGCTGCCTCGACCATAGGCACATCGTGCTGTTGTAGAGTTTCTCTGATGTTATCCTTCCATCTTGTTCTTGGTCTACCCCGTGCTCTACGTCCTTCTTCTCTTCCCATGTATGCTTTGTATGGTATGGTGTCACAAGGCATTCTCTCTAAGTGGGCAAACCATTTCACTTGCTGTCTTTGTATGTAATCCAGAATTGGTTCTGTGCCGACTTGTTCTCTTATGATCTCATTTCTGATCTTATCTCTTATGGTCACTCCTACAGCCCTTCTCAGACATCTCATTTCCGTGGTTACTAATTTTCTTTTATGGTTTGTTGTGAGTGACCATGTCTGGCACTGGTAGCACAGAGTTGGAATAAATATGCTTTGAATAAGATGTCTCTTTGTGCTGATTGGGATTGTCTTATGCTGTAAAGGGGGGCTAGCTGTCCCAATACTTGGTTTGCTTTACTGCAACTAATGTCAATTTCTTTATCCAATTTCCCATCTTCGGTAAATGTAGTTCCCAGATATTTAAACTCAGATGCCTGTTTAATGCCTTTGTATTCTATTGTTATGTTTAGATCTGTCTTCTTTTTTCCTATTGACATTACTTCTGTCTTTTCAGTATTGATTCTCATATTATTTGTTTTACATTCTTCATTCATGGATGTTAAATGTTGTTGCAATTTCATGGCTGTATCTGCTATCAAGGCCTGGTCATCTGCAAAGAGTAATTCGTTGATCTTACTAAGATCTTCATTCATGGGCTTGGCATTCTTGCATATACTGTCGATGTAGGTAATAAACAGCAGTGGTGATAAGACACACCCCTGTCTTACTCCAGATGTCACTGTGAAAGGATGAGATGTTCCCTGATTTATAAACTTTTGCACACTTTGATGAGGTGTTCGCTTACTCCATATCTTGCCATTATTTTCCATAATAATTGTCTGTCGACTCTGTCAAATGTCTTCTGCTGGTCTACGAAAGCCACAAATAAGTTCTTATTGTATTCAATGTTCTTTTCTATTAACTGTTTAAGTGTGAAGATTGCATCTGTGCAGCTTCTATTTCTCCTGAATCCCATCTGTTCTTCTGCCAGCTGTGGTTCTATCACTGGTCTCAGTCTTGTTTCTATTATCTTGGCATACATTTTGCCAACATGGCTTAAAAGAGAGATGCCTCGATATTGACCGCATTCTCGTTTGCTTCCTTTGTTCTTCCACAATGGTATAACTATTGCATGTTGCCAATCAATAGGGGCCGTTTGTTGTACATATATATACTTGGTGTCACCAACTGGAAAGAGAAGACCAGCCTGATAGATGAGCCATGTAGATTAAAGAGAAATAAAATAAACCTACTGTCCCCTAGTTGACTCTGTGGCTAAGTCGATGCAAACATTTCGTAATGCCGGGATGCCGGGTTCGATCCCAGCTGTGGGCCATGCGCCTTGTGTTGGTTTCGACAGTGGTATCAAAAAGCCGACTGTCCAGAAAGCAATGGCAAACTACTAGACATAAATTTGCCTAGAAAAAAAAAACACAACAGCCAGGGGCTGTTGGGGTTAGTTCTGCAACGTCCTGTAAAGGATACGCAACTAACCTCTAACTGTCCCCTAACAAGGCTGTCATAAGTGGTGCGAATTTGAGTTGGGCTGAAAGGTGCAGACGTCACAGTGTAGCTGTAGATCACAGCACAATATGCCAGCTGCCCTTTCAAGAAGAGGAAGAAGATATCCTGTTCAACCTATCAGGTTTATAATTAGAATCATTGTCAAGTACTTTGCTGCCAGACATGGGTAATCATGGTTACATCATGGGAAACAAGCTTGTGAATTTGTCTGCTGTCTCTCTCTCCATTCCATGACAGATAGCCAAAACATATCTTCTCTTGTTCAGTTCCATGTCTACATTCTGAGACTTAATTTTTTAAATTTTTTAGTAAACCGAAGGCTCCCCAACAAGCATGTTATTTTAAGTGAATAGTGAGGGGTTTGCTGAAATCTGATGTGTTGGGCCAAAAGGGGCAGATATTGCAGCCCAGCTGTTAACCACAACAAAACGTGCTAACTGCCCTTTTAAGGTTGAACGAAGAAGAAGAAAAAGCTTCCCCTATCCCTGTCTGTATCAATTATTTCATAAGTCACATAATGTTCCAGGTCTTCTCTTCTCATGATATATCCAGAAAATTAACTTTCTGATGATCATGACAAGCTGTTTTCATGCTCCTTTGCCATGGTACAAAGCCAAAGTCCAAATAGATGAACATTGAGGACTTTTCTGCTAGAGCTTACAGCTGGTGAAGAAAGAAGAAGAAGAAACTAACTGTCCAGGGAATTTTCAGCATATTTGATTTGATTAGATTCAAGAACCGACATCACAGCACTCGGGGCATTCCCATAAGCGCTCCGTCCCTATCTTCAGCAGCCAGTGAAGAGTTCCGATACTAATGGTGCCAGTAGCATTCTGATTAAACGTCCGTCGTGCCTTTCCTCTGAGCCTCGAGCATTTGCCAGAACCTCTCGTCACCCCCAACTGCATCAATCTCACCAGACTGTGTTGATCCATCTGCTCCTCCGAATTTCAGCATTCTTCTGTAGAACCACATCTCTTAGGCCTCAAGACATTTTCAGAAATATCCTGATAGACCCTGCAAGGGATTATATGCAGATGAAACAGTGCAGATGCGCAGGTAGATCATTACGGTCTAAGGAGAATGGCGCTGCGAGGAGTTACCAGGGGATCTGGCCGACGCTGAACACTCAAGGAAAAGATGAGACGGTTATACAATTAGACGGTTACCGGTACCATAAGAATTGGAACTCTTTGCTTGCAACTGAAGATGGGAACTGAGCGCTTATGGGGTTCCCGAGTGCTGTGACGTTGGTTCTTAATTCAACATTCAGCAACATATAACATATGCGGATGAAGTAGATCAAATATCTCCCACACATTTTTGGATTGACTGTAAAATTGATCATAGTGGGTGAAGGGAATTAAATGTCACCTAAAAAGTTTAAGGTCAACTTTAAAGAGTGCCACATGTGTGAATCACTAGATTTATTGTCATCCAGATATATTCAGATTCACCTTGTTGCCATTCTTCTTTTTTGTTCACCCTTGAAAGGGTGGTTGGCACAGTTTGGTTTACAGCAAGGCTGTGATATCCGCACCTAAAGGTCAGAAACATCCAGTTTCAGCAGACTCTTGATTAGTTGTAAAGTTTGTGTGGGGGGGGGGGGGGGGCAGTGAGTATATTATTTTATCCTCCAAAAGGTAGCCCAGATGGCACATGGGGATAGCAGCTGTTAAGACCTGTGCTGTTTGTCATTAGTCCTAGTGTCACAGTTAAGTAATCTCATTTCTGCTTTATATGATGACAATTATACTAATCATTGCTAGGACTGAGTACAGTTCAGTTAGTCATGTTTCTGCTACTACACTGATTTTGTTGTGTTGAAACTTTATTTAGTGTTCACCACTTTGGGTGATGTTACTGAGTTTGTCTCATATTTGAGCAGGGTGTGTATAAGGAAGGTGGTGTTAGTTTTACATTCATCTGACTTCCACAACTCATATTTTAAGTATGATAATTGTTTCTGGCCTTTCCTCTACAAATTCACATTGTTCATAACTAATTTTGATGAAATGTTTCTTATTTCCCTCATAACGGTTCTGTTTAATTTGTGCTGCTTATTTTGCAATAATCACCATAACTTTTCTTTGGTAAAGCTATATAGAATTAAATAGGTCATTAGAGATGTACCTGCCACTAATGAAATAAAAATCCATTGTACTGCACACACAAAATTGCAAGAGAAAAAGAATTACTGACATCCAAAAGATCAGAACATCAAGGAATATTGGCTAGTAAACAGCAACTTGTCTAGGAAACTTGAATATTTTGGCCACAGCAGATTGGAAAATAAAAGCAGGAAGCATGGTGCCAGGAATGAGGGGCAGTGGCTTACCAGCACGAAAATGGGCACAGGATACCAGTGACAGCTTGGGTAGGAAAGTGCATGAGGCAGGAGAGCTGGTGAGTGATGGAGTTTCTTCCCACACAAGGTGGATTTTTCATAATTTGCTTTGTCTACCAGATCAGTGCAGCATAACATGGATACCAGGAAATGCCTTGGTAAGTAAAGGCAGCAGGCATAAAACATGACCCTTTGAATGTCTGTCTATAAAAATATAGGTTTAGCATCCTATGCTTTAATATGCACATGTATTTATATTTTTCTGTACAGGTTTTTTCCCATCATTAAGTCCTGAGAGGCAAGTTCTGGCTATGTACCAGCAAGTTGATGACAAACTGGCAGTGACCGCTGACACAGATACCATGGAGGTCATTATCTCAGAGGATGATTTGTTAGCATCAGCTCCAGAGAAGAAAGTCAAGAAGGAAGATTCTTTAGGTATTTTTGCTATTATTCAGTCAGAGTAGCCATTTATTATTATTTATAGCAAGCACTTCTGCCTGTTGTTATTCTGTTATATTAGCAGTTTATGTTGATTTTTGGTATTTAGTCTATGTGCTATACTGAGCGGCACACATGAATTTGTTCCTCCACAGAGATTTATTTTCTTTATTGTTCATATGATTATCATTATTTAATCTTTATTATCCGTTTCCATTTTTGAAGCTTATTTTTGGGCAGGAAAAGTTTCTTTTGACTGAAAATATTTGTTGGCTCTTGAACTTTGCCAGCGAGTCTGCACACATCTGTGCTGGAATAGAATGTTGAAATATCTAAAAAAAAAAAAAAAAAAAAACTGTGATGGGAACATTTCCAACCTAGACTCCGCCTCAGCTAGTCTGTGTTTGCTTTGCTGAATTTTGACTGCTTAACCATGTTGCCTTGAGCAGCTGCAGTAGGGTATTTCATACTTTGTCTTGGTCTAGTATTTGCCACTTACTCAGCAATTCTGCTATGATCTGTCTCTGAGAAGCCTAGTTATCAGCGTTGGGTTTTGTGTTGCACCTTCACATAGTTCAGGGGCCTTGATATGAATAAATCAAGCCTGTCAATGCCCAACCCCATGTCCCTGTCTTGAAAGGTGGTAACATGACAAAGTAGGGGATTGCTAGGAAGTATTTTGTTGCCTTATGCCATCGGATCGCTACGGTCGGCTATCCTAAATCACCATGAAACATCCTGGCCAATGAGGCTCTGGTAAAGATGCGACAAGCCTAGCAAGCTGCCAGTGTATATACTACCTCTACATCAAATACACTGAGATATAAATAGACTGACACGACCATAAAATAGTTTTGATGATAGCAAAGTATCTCGTCTTCAAGAAACACGAGAAGAAATTAACTAAAAACCATGATCTCATCAAGATGGTAAGTTTGAAATAAGAAGGAGTAAAAGAACAGTAACAAAAGAAAATAGAGACATCATTCAAACAACTATCGCCCGTGGTGGGGAATATTGAGGATGAATGGAGTGATATAAAACCACCTTGCTTAATATTGCCGTCATTCAATATTTCCTTTGAGTGTTGCATGCACACCTGTTTTACAGATATACATGTAGAATGTTGAATTAGGATCAGCATCACAGAATTCAGGACATTCCCATACAAGCACTTCCCCTATCTTCAGTAGCAAGCATAGAGTTCCAATTCTGAAGGCACCAGTAACAGTCTGATTTTATGTCCTTCTCACCTTTCCCTTGAGCGTTGGCCAGATCCCCTGGTCACTCCTCGCGACAACATTCTCCTCAGACCGTGATAATTTGTGTACCTCCCCAATGTTCACTTGCTCCCAAAAAACTCTTACAAAATCCAGCTTGCCATGCATCAGTTCACCACCAGGTAGTGCAGAACCAGCTAGTCTTATATGTTTTTTCCCAATACACTGACATAACTGGATAAAATATCCAAAGGATGCTAACTGTCTGGAACCTCTGAAGCAACCACTGTGAGCCCGGGTCCTGGTGCATCACTGTGATTGGTGGTTTACTTTTGTAGCAGACTTAATGTCAGAGCTCAATCTTTCAAATACAACCAAAAATACATGTTTTGTATGTCTTGATATATGTTGCCTTTAACTCTTTATCATCATCTGCTTGTGTACTAGCAGAAGACTTTCTACATGAAAACATAACCACCATTTTCAACCTTTTAAGCAGCTCAAGCCAGCAGTGCACTGCTGACCCTGCAGGAGCAGAAACAGCCCATGCCTGTCAGTTTATTCTCAACAGCACAGTCGTGTCCTAAGCCTGTCCATCAGTCCATCCAGTTTCAGTTCCAGCCGCAGCCAACGCAACCTCAGCAACATGCTGTGCAGCAACCAGCAGCAAAACAAGTACCCAAAAAAATTTGTAAGTTTAAATTGTTATTTATTGAGAGGCTTTTCTTCTTCTGCACAGCGTCTAATTCTTGTAGTTGTCAGAATGTTTTTAACGATGAGTATCTCATGCTTTTTGATTTGAAATTTTGCAAATATGATAAATCATAGCTGAAAATAAATCAAATATGTAACTATAAATTGTATTGTTCTAAAACCAGGTTACATTTTCAATTTTAATGTTATTTCAGTTTTAACAAATGAAAGTTGTTAAAGAGACAAACACTGTTCTTTGGCCACACAGTGAGAAGAGAGACATTGGAGAACATCATGACAACTGGAAAGATCAGTAGAAAAAGGGGTAGAGGCCAACCAAGAGAGATGATGCTGGATGGGCTGAAACGATAGCATGGAGGGATATCGTCAAGAGAGCTGTTCCAGTCAACCAGGGATTGTGATCTGTGGAGACACATGAGCACCTACGCCAGTTGGCAGGGCACATGATGATGATGATGAAGAGAAAGTTGGGGAACCTCTGAAGACATTGAATGAAAGTTAAATGCATCTGAAGACAAATGTCTGAGGAAAATTATCCAAAAAACAAATAGGATGAATTCAGAATAGTGAAGAAATAAGAGAAATGTCTGGGCAACCGCTCGTAGCAGCAGTTATAACACAGAGAAGATGGCACTCTTTGTTAGAGAACTATGTGTTCATTTTTAATTTGTCTGACCTAACAAAATGTGTGTATCTTATTCCAGCATATCAAACCACAGTTGATGAGTTTGCTACATCTGTCAGTTTTCAGCAGTGGTTGGCCAGTGTCACTGAGAGAATCAATCAGACCATGCATTATGGGTTTTCAGGTCAGTAAAAACTGTTAGAAAGTAAATTATTAACCCTTCAATCCATCAGGTGCCGTCTCCACGGTGAAGGTCGGCTGCAGTGGATCTCCAGAACGCTCTGTCTATTGTCCTGGTTGTATACTCTCTCAGACAGCTAGCCATCCGTCTCTTGATGTTGTTCTGCTACTTGTAACAAAAAAAAAAGGTGAAATATTAATGGACAGATAGAAGGTAATTGAAAAATGGACAGAGTTAAATGAGCTAAATGATGATAACAGCGGACCAGACATAGAGAGTTATGAGTACTGGAAAGGACCACCAATACAGAAAGCGGAAGTGGAAGATGCTTTAAACCACATGAAGACATAAATCTCCAGGGTCAGATAACATCATGATTAAAAAATTATAAGCTGCTTGTGAACTAAGTTTAGAAGTTTTGACAAAATTGTTCGGTGATATTTGTAACAGTATCTGATAACCTTTTAAAATCTCTTTTCATACCTTTAACAAAAATGTCTGATTGACAACGAAGTTGGAATTTTTGAAAACATTAAACAAGGCACAAGACAAGGATGTGTACTATCACCCGATTTTTTTTTCAGTTTGTGCAATGACATAAACTGCAAGAAATTATGGATATTTGAAAACCAGAAAAACAGAAGTAATGGTAATTTCAAAGAAAACTGAACCTCAAAAATGCAACATCAAAGTAATAGGACAAACCTCCAGCAAGTTTATATGTTTAAGTACTTGGGAACCCTGTTAACATCAGATGGAAGATATATTAAAGAAGTTAAATGTAGAACAGCTCAATCAAAGGCATCACTTACAAAATGAAGAATATTTTGTGCAGTCTTTCTTTGTCAGTTGAGACAAGAAAGAACATTCTTAAAAGCTGTGTATATCCTAACTTGATATATGGAAGTGAATCATGGACAGTTGGTAGATTTGTGAACAATTGTTTGGAAGCTGCAGAGTTGTGATTTTATAGATGAGAATATGCTGAACAGATAACAAGTGAAATGAAGATGTCTTGAAAAAAAACTGATTAAAAAAGAGAACTGAAAGCCCACATTAGAAAGAGAAGATCTACATTTTTTGTTCATGTGATAAGAAGGAGAAAACTGGAGTACATCGTGACACAGTAGGAAAGTTGGAGAGGGGGAATGGCAGAGGGAGACTGAGAGAAAAGATGCTGAGCAGTTTAAATATCAGGACATGGAAGATCAACTGTGTCAGAGTTGATTGAAGGTACACAAGACAAAAGGTTGTGAATATCCATGTCTACCAGCGCCACACAGTATGAACTTTAAGAAGAAGATAATGTGCTTGTTTGGGGAGGGGGGGAGTCTATTCTTAGTTCTCCTGAGTGGAAACTGGAACCCACACCAGGATGTCTGTTTTCTGCAGGCAGAGGTTGCAAAACATTTGTCTTTTGCTTTTCTTATTATGTTGTTCTTTCAAACTGTCATTATCTTAACAGCTTTATATTCCCCTGTTTGTAAATATTTTCTTGCTGTGACCACCAGGAAAGTCTGATTTTCAGTTTTATTAAAAATTTTCTGTTGAATGTTGCAACAGGTACTCCAGATCCACTAGTGTTCCATGCTCCGCAGATGTTTTTCGATTGCCTGCAGCAAAGAATCTCTGCAGGAACTAGGAAGAAACGTCTTCCCAACTTCACCACAGGTTTCGTCCGGAAGGAAGCTCTCCCTTTGGGCACTTTTATTAAATACACTTGGCACATCACAAATATTGCACAGGTCAAGCAGATATTTGATTCCACAGAGGTTTGTTTATAGGAGTCTTTTGTTTGTTTATAAATAACTGCACTTGAAGTGGAATAGCTTACAATGGTTGCCTCAAATTCAGGCATATCTGGTTGAAAATTTTGGAGGATGTATTCACGTTGTGCATATTTAATATCTCTGAGCAGCTGGAAATAATTCGACGACTGCAGCTTCGGGATAAGAAACGGCTCGTAACTCTTAAATAACTCATTTGATTCAGCTGTAGGTGATTTGGCGGCAGACTGCTTTGCATTTATTTTGACTATGGTATAGAGTTTAGAAAGCAATAGCAAATCACTGCACATAAGAAAATGCCATGTTAAACCACAAACAGCCAACAAATGCTGGAATTGGTTTGTAGTGTTGTGTAAGTATATGCAAGCAACCAACAGTCTGCATACAGCTAAACCAGATCTGTAAAATGGATGTGCACACAGTACTCAAGTTCTGGATCAAAACCAGTGTCTGTTATTGGATGACCCACCACCAGTGTCCATTAGTGGATGACCCTCCATAACTTTCCACCACAGTTTATAGCTGGTGAACGTTAAGAACAAGAAGCATAAGTCCTCTTAGAGCAAGATGTGGGTCTGTGCATCTAGAGCACCACACTACAGGATGGAGTTGTTTTGACTAAATTAACATACAAATTATTTGCTTTTAAAGACATCCATGCTTGCTTCCTCAGTTCCACAAAGGCAAGTTATGATTTAAAACAGTGTGTGCCCAATTTTGATCACAGAATATGTTGTTTATTCATTACGAAGGATGAAGACCACTTTTCATTTAAAGTAGTAATGATTATGAGTATGAAGGTGGCTGGCTAGTCAATCACGAGCCCAGAAAGTTCTTGAGCAGTGCAGACAACAGGTGGAAGCCACAGTAAGTGCGGGATTAGCGATACAGTTCTTTTTAGTCTGCCTACGTTTCTCTGCCTGTGCAACCTCTGCTGCCCGACAGGCTGATGTACCATACCTGAGAGATATACACCATCCAGAACGGTATTGTGCAGCAGCCTCACACCTTGCTGTGTTGATGCCAACAGAATTGAAAGCAGTTTTGAGTGTCCTTAGAGCGCTTTTCTGTCCTCCCTGGGACCTCGCCATAAAATAATCTCTTTGGGAGGTGAAAGTCTGGAATGTGGGCTAGGTGACCAGCCCAACGCAGCTGACAGTGCTCCGGTATCATGTGGATGCTAGGCAGGTTTGCCCTATCAAGAACAACAGTTTTTGGGATCCTATCTTGCCATTTATTTTGAGCAGCTTTCTGAGACAAGTTAAATCAAAGAATATACTTACATAGCATTAGCAAATTTTCACTGATACTACAGTTAAAAATAAAATTAATTTATGCACTTTAATTTGCAATAAATCTCTCTATCTGTTTATAGATGAGTTTAGATCTAACCAGAAGCTTTGTGGAGAATCGAGATGGAACTTATGACCCATATGAAGCATCACGTCCCGAAACGTTTAACGAAAACAATAAAATTAAAAACCACACTCCCATCAGGCCATTTGAGCTCAAGACATTTTTAAAAGTTGGTAAGTATTCCATATTATTGAGAAGTTAACAGTACCTTGGAATTTGTTGTGCATCTGCAGTACAGTATAAGAGATTAGCTCACAGTACCTTTGAATTTACTCTCAAAATGCAGTGAAGACTAAGAAGATTAGTTAACAGTACTTTTTGAATTTACTCATAAAATACACTGAGAAGGAAAAGATTAGTTACAAGTACCTGTGACTCTTCTAAATATACAATGAGAAGGAAGAGATTAGATTAGAAGAAACTTCGCTAAGGAGCACAACAGATGGCATCTGATGATCAGATGAGATTGCCCTTTCAGGAATCCTAACTCAGTCCATGAAAGTCACAGCTGATGTGTGGTTGAGGCAAGAATGATGACAAGAACAGAGATATACTAATCCACGGGGACCAAATACACAGCACACTCGGCGACATGTGCGATGTTAGTTTTCTTTAGTTTGCAGCGACTAAGTAAATGCACACACACGTGCGCCCGCATGCATACGCACACACACACCTGAGCATATGAGTGCATTGTTTTAGTACTTGAAGAGTTAAGAGAGAAAACAATTACAATGAAGTTATGCTGTAATTAATTGCATTTATTCACAAAGATGTTTCATGTTAAAGGTTACATTTTTTTTTTTCAGGGCCTTCTAATGATCAAAAGGAATCCACACCTTTCATCATAGAATGGATACCTGACATACTGCCTAGAAGTCATATAGGAGAGTTGCGCATCAAGTTTGAGTACGGACATCAGAGAAATGGACAGGTGGAGAATAGGAATAATCGGAATGTTTTGTCACCAGACGTGTCTCTGCAGTCACAAGCCATACAGTTGAGAGAGATTGTGCCTAGCTAGCAAGACAGAAAGTCAGTGTTATTTAACTCTTTCAGACCCAAGTGGGAGAACATGAGCAGACAGCGTTTTGTCACCAGACATGTCTCTGCAGTCACAAGCCATACAATTGAGATAAATTGTACCTAGTTATTAAGACAGAAAGCCACTGTTATTTAACCTCTTCAGACCCAGGTGAAGAATGGGAAGAGTGTTTTGTCATATCAACCAATGCGTTTTTTTTTAATCACAAGCCATTTAGTTAAGAACCTGGCATATGCTGCCCCAACATCTTGTTTGAGAATGGAGGTGGACTCAGTAACTGCAGCCTTCTAATGGCTTGAAAAGCAGCTGTACCTACATGTCGTAATTGTAACTGACTTCCAGGGCATGCTAAGAAAGGTGGAGACAAGTATACTATGTGCAGAATGGGAAGCATTGCTTCAAAGATCTGGGTAGATAGTGTTCTTTAGATATATTCTTTGTACTTTATACAATCAAACTGCCGCTGGTAATGTTGAAATTTGAACTGTGTGCTTTCTGCTCAGGATGGGGACGGAGCGCATAGCGGAATGTCCTCAGTGCTGTGATTTCAGATCTTAATTCACAGTTTACAGTTTAGAGGTGATGTGCCTAGCTAGCAAGACAGAGAGTCTAGTCATTGTTTGTTAAATCTTTCAGACCCAGGTTGAGAATAGAACCAGAGTGTTGTGTCACCCGACATGTCTCTGCAGTCACAAGCCATACAGTTGAGAGATTGATGCTAGTCATTTTTTCTCTTCCAGGATTGCTGTCCATATAATTAATACCTCAAGGATCAGAAGCAAACAGGAAATATATATGTATAAATAAAGGACCTTTTCCACGCCTCTAGACATATTGGGTACATAGGGCCAGACCTTTGTTTTATAGACCAGTCGGTTGTGGGTGGGTAATGTGGTCAGCATCAGACTGGCTTCATCTATATAACACAGCTATATTAAGGCACTGCTGCAGTTACAATGTACCCTGCAATCCGTTGAGGACATGGGACGAGAGATTGTGCCTAGCAGTATTGGAAGATAGTGTAATTTAACTCCTCCAGTTACAATGTACCCTGCAATCCATTGAGGACATGGGACGAGAGATTGTGCCTAGCAGTATTGGATGATAGTGTAATTTAACTCCTCCAGTCTCAATACGATGCTGAGTTAACTTGTTTTATTCTGAGAAGTGATTAATTTAACTAAACATGGTCTGAGTTTAAAGTTAAGAATATCAGTTTCGTTTAAAAAAAAAGTTACAAAAATGGACCCTTATAACACAGACCAGAAATGCAGAACTAGGCTCACCTTTTTTACAGACCACTTGGTCGGTGATGTGGTCAGCATCCCGCCGGCCACCTTTACATCCCAGGACATTATCTGGTATCTATTTTTGGCGGCATTTACATGGGAGTCAAGGTCAGTTTTGAAATAAAAGGAACGTCTCAATGCAGATTCTAACCCAGGACCTTCCGGCAGGTAACATCTAGCTGTTCCTCAGCTTCATTATTTTAACCTTTACAACTTGACCTCTCTCCACAGAAGGACTTTCCACCTGTTGAGATCCCCACCTAAAGCATGAACTCCATAGTTCTTTGACATCCTCCAGGTATTTCTGTAAAAATTGCACACTTGAACTGAATGATACGGTCTGTAAAATGAGCCCATGGCCTTCAGCGCATAAGGATGGTTCAACCACTTATTCACCAAAACTCCTGAATAAAGTAATTGTAACAATCCAACTTGGGTCACACCTGGCAAGCTGTTTAACTATTAAATGATCAATACTGAAGTAGTTATTACACAGAGTTAGAAAGAAGAATTTAAAGCAAAACTTGGTGTGGGGTAACATAAAAACTGATATAAGACAAAGGGTTTAGAATAATATATGATATAGGATGTCTTAGCAGACAAGGTGAGTTGCTTGGCACAAATGAGTCTGCGGCTTTTGGCTGCAAACATTGTTGAAAATCTAATGCTTGAGTGGTAGTAGTCTTCTGTTGGTTGAAGATTGTTATTTATTTTTTCTGTAGTCAGTTTTCTTACATTGCGCAGAATTTTTTTTTGGGGGGGGGGGGGGGGGGGGGGGCTGAGGGTCATGTTCGTTGATAACAGTAATTAAAATTATTGTGAAGAAATGTTTAGTTTTTGGATTTCATTTCACTGTGCGTTTCTTTACATTCTTGTAAAACCAGCCTTTTTTTTTTAACCTAACTAAAACTATACTTAAACCAGCATCTGTAGTCAGCTTCTTATGTTTCACAGAGCAAATATGTCAGTTTTTTATGATAGAAGTTAGTAAAATCATTGTGAGGAAATGTTTAATTTTTGGATTTAATTGGACAAACTATTCCTCCCCACGCCGCTTAACTGTAGAAGTAGAATTTGATGATGATGATATTTAACAGTTTCGATCCTAATTTATTTCCATAGCATGTTAACCTCTCAGCCACCTTAATCAAACCCAACAGTTCATTGTTAATTTTCTTTATTTCTTCCCGACATTTTTCTTCTATCCCTACATTTTCCTTACCTCTTTTCTTAGTGTTTTTTTAAAGCTTGTAATAATACTATTAACCTGTTAATTCTGAAACATCGTCAACTTTAAAATAATCTGTTGTGTCCAACATTAGTGTCTCATGAAAGTTCGTGAAACTGATGTAAGCAATAATGACTAAACTTACCAAAAATATGAAATCTACTGTTTTGTTGATGTGTTTGTGTTGAAGTTGTTCGGGCTATGCATGGTTGGTTAGTTGGTTATGAATCCTTAGAAAATTGAGTTATTTAATTTTAGTGCATCGTTGTTAGAGTTCTCCTTCTTCTTCATTTGCCCTGGAAAGGGCAGGTGGTACACTGCTGTGGTTTATAGCTGGGCTGCTGTATCTGCTCCTTTTGGCCCAACACATCAGATGTCAGCAAGTCCTTAACTCTTTCAGTCCCAGGAGGTTTAGCATCAAAGACCTAAGGTATAGTCAAGAGAGATGTAAAATCAGCACATCTTGCATTCATTGGGCTCCTAGATAAGAACTTGTGAACATATGCATTCCTTGGAACTTGAAGAATTAATAAGTTACCTTTAATGACATGCTAATTGAGGGGCAGTAGGTCAAATGGGGCTCTGGAATCCACACATGGAAATTCGGGTTGTCTAAGAAAGGGTTTGCATCTTTTAGTGTGGGGAGATTTTCTCCAGATTCATTGCCAAAGTACCATCATCACAGGTTATTTGCATGTCCTTAACAGGATGTTTGCAGAACCAACCCCAACAGGTTTCGGCTGTTGTAACTTTTCTAGGCAAATTTTTACCCTCAGTAGTTTACTATTGCCTACTGAACAGTCAGCTCTCGGTATCACTGTTGAAACCAACTCATGGCGGTCTGCTGCCAAATCACCTGCAGCTGGGACCGACCCCAGCATTACAAAGTGCGTTTGCAACGCTGAAGCCACAAACGCGGATTTTGAAAAGCTCACCTTCCCCTCTTCAGCTTCAGAAAACAATGATTTGTACGTGACCAGTACTTGACATTTGTTCCTATGGAAGACTGTGAGGTAGACAAATCCTGAATCTGTATATATAAGTAAAACGACCCATTTCCAGGCATTGAGATAGTTAAATATGTAACTGCCATGGAGTTTGATTTGTGTCACTATGTGACCTCTGTAGTCAGTTTAAAGCCAAGTTTTGCAACAGTGACTATGCATTGTGTCATAATGTTCTTGAGTTGAGGGGGAAGGGTGTGAGATAGTGGAATAAGTAAGCTGGTCTTACTGACTGGTACAAAAGTTTGCAAGCCAAGGCAAGGAAGATACATGTAGTATTATTCTTGTGCAGCAGAAGGAGTTTAATGTATAAATCTATTGTTGGAATATATATATATATATATATGTTGTTGGGGTATGTGTTGTTGGAATATATGGGAGAAATTAAGAAATATGTTGTTGGAATGTATGGAAGAAATGTTTTATTGGAATGTATTGCTATGAAATTGCAATGCTGCGGCACTGATCACCAAAAATTAACTAGTACTAGCATACATTTATGAAACTTATGTTTGATGTTAGCTTTAATTTTTTGTAGATAGTTTTAATCACTTTCTGACAATGATGGTTGATTTCAGACATATTTGTAAAATGCTCCATGTTTTTGTCTCTGATTCTTGAGATGCTATGAAAATTGTAATTATTTTTAGTCAGATATGAAAGTTTTTGGATTAGCTTAAGTTAATGATGCGCCGGTGACACTATTTCATCTGCCAAGAAACTGCCTAAATTTACTAGTTTTGTGGTTAAGGCAGGAAAGTTTTTGACCATAAGGATTTAAAACTGCATGGCTAGTGCTTTTGCGAAGGTTAGGATAATTTGTGTGTATGTGTACCTCCGACCCCCAAAAAATAAATGTCTTTTTCAGAGTAGAGAAATGGTTTTAAAATGAGTACTCTCTATCTTTGTCGCTCTCTTTCAACATCCCCCCCCCCCCCCTTTTCCATTATACACTGCAACACAAATTTTATATATATATTTTTTTAACACAATGTTGTGTAGTTAATTGATAACAAAAAGATATATCACTGAGTTGAGAAATGTATGATGTAGAAACTGTAAAACAACTCTTTCATTTTTCCTAAAGCTTATTAATTAACTCAAAATAGTGTTTAACCTTTGCATTGCTATCTGACTTCTGAAGAAAACTAATTTATAATAACTACAAAAAATATATACAAAATTTAAAAACAAAGTGTAGGCAGTACCACGTTTCATGTCATTCAAACTTTCTGAGTTCATTCTAGGGCCCTATTTCTGGGGAGAAAAAAAAAACCACTGCCCGCTAAGAAAAATGTCCTAAAAGACATCTAATTAGCAGTTTGTTGAAGGATGAGTTGGGCAGAAAGGTGCACAAATTGCAGCCTAGCTTGTAAAACCACAACCACCCCCTTTTTTAGGGCAAACACAGAAGAAGCAGCAACCATTTAACTGAGTGGAGATTACAACTGATCCATT